TTCCTTCGTGGCTATTCAACTTCGCTCCTTCGACGTCTTTCCCTTCCTGTCGGATCGAAAATTTTGACATTTTGATTGGAAGCAAGAACGGGACCTGGCTGGCTGTGAAGGTAACTTTCTCCCTTTCGCGCGCTTCTTCTGCTAAATCCCGTTAAATCCGTCGAACAGAGGGATTTAGTAAATTCGGGAATTACGGAATCCCGGGATTTAACGAGAGCACAAAAACCGTTTGGCTGGATTTAGCATAAATCCGACTTAAATCCGAGAATAAATCTGATACCAAACAACCCCTTAGTTCTCACCTCTTACTCTTTGCCTGGTACGGCATGTTACCCATCTCTGGCCTCTCCAGAACTACCGGGGTGTCAATTTGGGGTGATGGGTTCGGTAGGGGTCGAATCTCAAACCGGATCAACTCAAATCTGACCCGTTTTTGCAAACGGGTTAGTTTTCCGAACTCGGTTCTGGGTCAACCTAACACGACCCGAATGACCCGGGACCATAAAAAAATGCTAGTTTTGGGTCCAAAACGGGTCAATCTCTGCTTTTTGGGTCAAAACGGGTCAGAAACATGTAAATCTCGGTTTGTCGGGTCAAAATGGGTTTTCAGGTCAAAAACGGGGTCAATTTCGGATCAAAGGGTTAACCTGAACTTGACACGATTTTTGAAACGGGTCGAATTGTTGAACTCGAACCCGACCCGTTTTGAGTTAGGGTTGACCCTAACCCAAAATTTTTCGGGTCGGGTTTGAGTCAGGTTTTCAGATCGTGACAAATATTGACAACACTAAGAACTACCGGAACCCAATAAGACTTCAATGCCCCTATGTTGTTCCGGATTGTTGGAGAAAATTAAGCTGATTATCATATATCTCTGCAACACATTTTGTTTGACCTTAGCCTATTGGTTGAGAGCTTTGTCTTCCAACTAAGAGGTTTTGGGGTCGAATTTTTGTGTATGCGTTGTGTGCCCGAGTTTACCTTAATTGGCCTAAATACGCAAAAAAAAAAAAAAAGAGTTTTGACTTTTGGATTTCAATTAAGAACTTTTACGTTTGACTCTTAAGTATGTGACATATATATGAGTTTGATTTAAACAGCCTAAATGTAAAAAAAAAAAAAAATTTGTATCAAAGTATAATAGTTTTAAAATTCATGTAGCATTTGACACATCTTTGATCACTTAAAGGCATTTAATAATCTTTAACGGGTTGTTTAGTTGGTTGTAAAGTGAATTTAGTATAAAATAAAAGAATAAATACAGTATAAAGTAAATACATTATGCTGTTTGGTTGTATGTAAAGTGAATGCATGTTGTCTGTAAAGAAAAATTGGAGGCCCATTTGGATGAGGCATTTAATTGAACACCTAGTGTGCCTATCATCAAACTGAATTTATTTTTCATATTGAAGTCACCAAACTGATCACCAATTGGTTTAACATTTCCAAAAAAATTAAACACAGAAGAAAAACCTTGTGATTCCATGTTCTCGTACAAGGTGGTTCGCCCATCCTACGACTCCAGATTCTCACACGAAGTGACATACATTACGTTTGCTCAGGAGTGGAAAGGCATACCATGGAGCAATAAATGAGCATCTCATCCATGCCATCGCTTCAATCAGGCTAGCCCATCTTCCGCTTCAAAGTAGATACGGGCGAATCAGAAGAACCGTGTGGATCATTAGGCCCTTGCGTGCACGACATAACGAAATGAAAGAGGAAGGGTGTGATTTCACGTGCGAAAAGCAGCATAGTCAAACAATGATGATGGAACTGAATGGATCTTCTTTGCGTGCAAAGTCAAACATCAAAGTCAAACAACAACGATGGAGCTGAATCTCAACGTGGCATAATTCAAGGGCTGCAGAGGCTGATGTCTCCACTCTTGGGTACCCTGATGATGGTTCCCGCCAAAGGAGGAAGAAACAAAGATGGGTTTCACGGGCTGCTCTCTCTCGCCAGCAGAATTCCTTTTTTGCTTGATTTTCAACGAATTCGCTTCATACGAAAAATAAACTAATGCAGGGAGTTACGAATATATCAAGAATTTACTTTACTTTACTTTGCCACCAACCAAATACCAAAAAAGTGAAAAAGCAAAGCATTCACTTTTCCTCCAATCAAAAAGCCCCTAAATTTAAAGCCATGATTTTTTAAAATACTAAAGTATGATAAATAATGTGAAATCCATTTATATTACACATCTAAAGTCATTAATAAAACCTCTTAGAATAATTAATAAGATGATGAGAAACCTAAGCTTGATTCACATATTATGTACATCCAAAATCATTACTCATGATTATCATTAATATGAGTTGTTATGAAAAATTAAAAATACAATTACTGCATAATTATTAATTGATTAGTCATCAAATAATTAACATAATTTGACATAAATTTTGAAGCATATTTGAATTAAAATTTAACAATCAAAATCAGGAGCATCTATAATTTCATTTCTGCAAAGTTACTATCAAATTGTAAGTCTTAACAAAAAAAAAAAATGCTAAGATTGATCTTTTGAAGACAGCTCTCATATCACAATCTCTTCCAACTTCCAATCCAACAGTGAGAATAGTTTCTCCACCTATTCATTGAGTGTAGGAATCGGGCTTGTAGTTGCGTGTCCAATAGCGGAGGTTAGCCAGTAGTATAATGGCAGTAGCTAGTAGTAAAATAAACTCATTGTTGTGTACTGCAATATTCACGACGGTAGAGAACTGCAATATTCGTGACGGTAGAGAAATAAATATAGTTAATGTCTTAGCTTTGTACGAAGATCCAGTACACAATTAGATAATATAGAGGGTGCACATTCATAAGAGACCCCAAAGTTTTTACACCCCCTAAAAAGGGGGAAAATCACGGGGCCTGACCCACTTTGAAATGATCCACTAATATTTATGATTGATTACAAATGAGGCCCTTCCTTGGGGGGCAGGCCTTGGCTTGATGTAACAAATATACATCATATGGAGTGCATTACATGGTGAGAATAGGAAGAATCATTATTGACGTAATCGTTTGGTCGGAAGAACCATAGTCGGTGGGCGATAGAGGTCGGAAAGACCATTGTCTTGCGACGGAAGTCGGAAAGACCATTGTTTAGCGATAAATGTTAGAAGGATCGTAGTCGGTGAAGGAGGTCAGAAGGACCGTAGTCGGCGGGCGACAGAGATTGAAAAGATCGTATTCGGGGGAAGATCATATTCGGCGGGCGGCAGAGGTTGGAAGCTGGCGATGGGCAGAAGTTCGACGTCATGTAGAAATCCGACAATAAGTTGAAGTTTGGCGTTGGGTAGAAGTTCGATGAAAGTCTGACGACATGCAAAAGTCCGACGACGGGCAGAAGTCTGCAACTGACAGAAGTCCGGTGTTGGGTAGAAATTTGACGACATTCGACCGCCGAATGGAAGTCCGGCAATGGTCGGCAACTGGGCGGTGGTCCGACGACGGTTAGGTTGAAGTCTGACGGTGGTAGATGGCTGGGCAGAAGTCCGACGAAGGTTCACAACCGCATGGTTGTCTGGCAGCGGTCGGTGGCCGGTGGAAGTCCGACGACAATCGATAGCCAGGTGGAAGTCCTGCAACTATCGAAGGCCGAGTGGAAGTCCTACAACTGTCAGCGGCCAGGCGGTGGTCTAACGAAGGCTGGGTTGAAGTTCGGCGCCTGTCGGTAGTTATGTGATGGTCCGATGATGGTCGGGTTGACGTCCGGCAAGGGTCGGCGACCAAGTTGGAGTCCTCCAACAGCGAAGGTTGGGCAGTGGTCCAATAAAGGCTAGGATGAAGTCCAGTAGTGGTCAACATCTAGGTGGTGGTTAGATATTGATCGGGCTGGCGTCCGACGGCTTAATGGGAGTCTGATGGCAATCAGATGCTGGGCGGTGGTCAGACGACGCTGTGCGGTGGTCAGACGACGGTTGGGCTGAAGTTTGATGTCGATCGACAGCCGGGCAGTGGTCCAACAATGGTCAGGCTGACGTCTTGCGGCGGTCGACGTCCGTGTAGGAGTCCAGCAATGGTTGGCGGCCGGGCGGTGGTCCGATAATGATGAAGCTGAAGTTCGACGGAGGTCGACGGCTGGGTGGAAATCTAACGGTGGTCAACTGCCATGCAATTGCCTGATGATGGTCAGGCTAAAGTCCGGTGGCGACCGATGGTCGGATGGAAGACCGGCGACGATTAGTGGTCGGGCGATGGTCTGACAAAGGTCAAGCTGAAGTATGGTAATGGTCGGCGACAGGGTGGAAGTCTGGCGGTGTTCTGATGTCAATTGATGTGGGTTCGCCGCAAGGTGGTAATGGAGCTCTCAAATCCTCAAAGCTCTCTATTATATTTAGCCCAAAGGGTCCCCTTCATGTAGAGATTGGGGGTATATTTATAGATTTTCATGTCAGCGGCCGGTGGAAGTC